AATGTGCTAATTAATTTGTTCTGATTTGTTTTACACCTTTGGAGTTAGAGCCCATTAGAATTCCATGCAAGGATTACTGGAGCAGCAGAAGGCCTTTCTACTGTCCTGCTACTAGGACCCTTCACTTCCTTATTGGAATGCTCACATGAGGACCTGATTCTTGGCTTTTTTTTTTTTTAAACTAAAGGAGCAAAGGAAAAAAAATGCCCAGCAATGAGTAAAGTCCACACTTGTTTTACCTGCCGAGTGACATCTGTAAAGGCCAATTCCTTGTCTTTTTAATGTGCAAGCTGTAACATATTAAAGAACTGTTTCCTCGCTTCTGTTAGCCCTTGATCTAGCGACGCGATCAAAATGCCAAGTATGTCTGTTTCATCATTTGGCAGGAAAACGTATGACAAAATTATTGCTATCTGGGAAGATTAAAAGAATACCTGTTTTTGTTTTTGCTGTTGTTGTTGTTGTTTTAGATGGCTGCTGATAAAAATTACAGATTTGGGTCAGGGATTTAGCTCAGCGGCATAAGCACCCACCTGGCAAACGCAAGGTTGTGAGTTCAATCCCCAGGACCACAAAAAAAAAAAAAAAAAAAAAAAAAAAAAAAAAAAAATTACAGATTAAAAGACAAAATCAGGTAACTAAATACGGAGTAGGATAAGTGGCTTACATTTCTCTTGCGACTGAAAACTTTATTACAGTTTCAATTTACAGGCTCTTAAGAGAGGCTTTTTGTTTGGTTGGTCTCTTTTTTGTTGTTTTGTTTTGTTTGCTTTGCTTTTTAAATCTAGTTACAATATTTTGCTCACATCCCCAGAGCTGTCCTTTGCACTTATCTCTCCCACCTTTCATCAGAAAATTGTGAACCACTGGCAGCCTGTGTGGCCACACCCTCCCCAGTGGTTGCACACAACATACAAGCCAGCTTTAAAAAAAAAAAAAAAAAGAAATCAAAGGGTTGAAGAACAGACCACGGAATTCACAAGCAAAGAGCTCCGCTGTGAGCGGTACATGGTGGCGTACTGTACGTACTTTATGGTAGGGAAGAAATGGGATGGGATCAGTAGCTCACATACCAAGAAAAACAAGTAATTGTTTTTGCCTAGAAATATACTGTGGCTTTATAAATACCATATCCTTCACCCACATTTAACAGAAGAAGGAACTGAGGTCACCAAGGCTGATACATGTGCCTGGACCAGCCACAGTGCAAAACCTGTAAAATGCAATCTTTCGTTTAACCCAACATGCAGTCAACATTTTTATTCTCCATTTTATTTTTCAAAATAAGGCTTTGCTGTTAGCAGTTCAAACTAGGAGAAACAGCACTGGGCTTGGGGTTCGACTATTAATCCTGCTGGTCAATTTGGTTGGATTAAGAGGTGCCGAGAGAAGTGATGGACGGTGAGAGTGCTGACCCTCAGTGGACTAACCCAACCCATTAAACAGCTCACAGGTGAACGTACCCTCAGGAGGTGGGGCCTCGGGAAAGGAAGTAGCCACTGGGAGGGTCTTTGAAGGGTGTGTCTTCCCTTTGGCTCTTTGTCTCCCTGCTTACTGGCTGCCTTGAGATAAATGAGTTTCCTCAGTCACGCCCTTCTGCCACAAGGTTTCTGACTCTCCACAAACCTAGAGCAATGGAAGTGGCCAGCCACAGAGTGAAATCTCTTCAACTGTGAGTCAGAAGATATGTGATTACTCCTGTAAGTACTGTGTGTCAGGTACTTTGTCAAAGTGATGGAAAATTACTAACAGAGGAGAAATACAAAAGCTTTAAATAACTTTTCATCTGAAGCCCAGAAGATCTGGTTAGCATTATCACACCTCTGGCTGGACAGGTGACCCCTAGGGAAAGGCATAAAAACCCTGGCACTGAAGGACCTCTCAGAGATAACAGCAGGTCTCCACACATAACATGAGATGGTGAGAAATGCATTTCAAAGTGAGCACGCCATCCTCTTTCCGTAAATGTGATCCACCTTGTCATTCCCATTATAAGTACATACATCTCTCATCCTAATTTTCAAGCTTCCTCAGCTTGACTTGATTAGCTTTTATCATGGATAAAATTTGGTCAATCAATTTCATATTTTCTTCCTGATTTCAATGAGTTGAAACTAAAAATGTAAAAGTTGGACTAGCAACCACAATTCTTCACATTCCTACACACTAGGCCACAGATACTTTTTCTCAAGTATTAATTGTGTAAGGACAGAGAGAGCAATAACTAATCACAATACAGAGCCTGTGAACAGTTTTTATTTGAGCCTACAAGTCTTCCCAGCTGGTGCTTGTCAACTTTAAAATAATCAGTAGAAATCAAAACTTGTATGTTATCTATTGTTTTAGGTCAGGGTCTCCTAGAGACAAAGCCAGAGACAAGGATTTAGATACCAGAGATTTACTGGGAATTGGAACTTCACAAAAAACCTGGGAAGAATGAGGAACCAGGAAAGGAGGAGGAAGAAACAACCTTGACCCTGGTTTACAGGTGGCAGGGTGTGAAGGGAAGAGGGCCCCTCCGGGGTGTAAATCATACCACAGAGCAATCCTTTCTCTCTGCAAGGAACCAGACTTTGCCAGTCACTCTCTGACTGCTGGAGGTGCTGGTCAGGAAGTCAGCCACATTCTGGGAATCACTGCGAAGGCAGCCCACACAACCAAGGATAATTCCCGGAGAACCAGTAGACCAAATTCAACACCAGGAAAACCTGCTAGAAAAGGAAGCTTCCTGATGGCACCACGAGCATCTTCCTGGCATTCCCATATGTGGTCCCAAATGGGGACTTTTTAGGATTCAAATTCCTGGTCCCCACCTCAGACCTCCTGAATCAGAAACACTGCACTGGAACAGCAAACTATCTGCACACACTTTCCAATGATTCTGATGCACTCACCGGATGCCTTCCCCCCAGTTTTTAACAAATCACAACATTGTTCCCGATAGTCTTAGATTAGTGCAAAAGATGCTCAAACTTGGAACCTCCTGAAAAATATTTTGATTCAGATTTCTACAAAAGCCCTCCCTGTGAACAATGCCTCGCTTTGATTAATCACACGTTTCCACCCTTGGTTTTCCTCTACTTTCCCATTAATTATCTGGACTCTTTCCATGACTTGAGAGCTCTAAGAAATCTCTTCCCTGGAGTCTTTTTTAAGAAGATTTAATTAGTTTCCCTCATTCATAGGGTCCTCAAGTTCTTCTCCCACCAAAATCAAGATTTATAGCCCAGTAAAGATGTGTTTCCTTACATCCTTTACCTCCTCAAACCTACATTGACATTTTGCAATCATTTTGCTCGGAATGAGATCTAATTTTCCTGAGTGTTATAGTTAAGATATCCCCAAGGTCTCGTGTGCCCACACGTAGGACTTTGGGAGGTGACTGGATTATCCAGGAGTGACAGTCATTGTGGTTCAGTCTGCTGATGAGCTCACAGCTGACTTCCTGTTAGGAAACAGGCTTGGCTGCAAAGAGGTGGGTCTCCAGGGTATGGCCTGGAAGGTTTTGACTCTCCCTGGCTCTTCCCTCTCCCTCCTGTTCTCTCTCTGCTGCCTACTACCTTGCCACAGGCTGCTTTTCCTCTGCCATGCTCCTTGCTATGCAGGGTTACCTTGGAGCCAGCTCACTACAGACTGTGAGCCAAGATATATCTTTCCTCCCTTACGTTGTGGCGTTGGCTATGGCGTCTCTGTGATGAGAAAATAGCTACAACACAAAGCAAAGGAGAAAAAGAGGCATCCCTGCAATAAATGTTTCTTTGGGAAACTATAATCTCAGACAACTTTATTATTTCTCTCCTAGATAATAGAGAGTAAAATGTGATTTGAAACTGATTTTTTTCACTTTTTTTTCAGTAACACCATCATACTCAACTTTGCACACTTTGGTTTTTTCTTGCCACAGTTTAAAACCTGTTATCCGTAAGCTTGATTGTGTCAGCTCGATTGACCCAGGAGCTTGGAGAGCACACTTCCAGGTCTGTCTGTATGGATCATGGAGATGTGTGTGGCCTTGGGGCCTGTGTCAGCTCCCTCACCTCTTTGGCACTGTTCTGTCCTGCCTGCTTCCTGGGTACCATGAGCTGTGCATTTTTACTCTCCATACATTTTTGTCATAATATTTCTTCCTTAGAGCTTGACCATGCACAGAATCTCTGAAACCACCAGGCAAAATAAACCTCTCTTCTAGGTTGTGGATGTTGGATATTGGGTCCCAGCAACCAGAAATCTAATGCAAAACCTCTACTTGGATATTGTACTGCACACTGGAAAATATTATAAACATTGTTTTATAAACTCTTTTTCAGAACTATTTATGTCTCTTTTGTTGTTGATACTTTGTGAGCTATTTTTGAACATAGAGGAAAGCTCAGGAATAATGTGACCAACATTTCTATACTTCCTGTGACTATTAATTATGATTGTCAGCATCTCTGGATGAAGAAACATCTAACAGATGAGTAAAGCACACTTCCTGGGTATCTGCAGTGTGTTTCCAGAGCAATTGGTATGTAGGCCAGCAAACCTGGGGATGGGAAGGGTCATCCCGATTGTGAATAGCTACTTTCAATGGGCTTGAAGCCAGGCTAGATGGGAAGGGGGTCTGCCTGCATTTGTAAGTTCAGTTCTGCTTGAGCAAGTAGGCCTTTGGTACTTCCAGCACCTGTGGGCATCGGACTCCAGCTTCTTCTGCCTTTTAGTGCAGATTGGTACCACCAGCTCTCCAGGAAACTTCCAGGCCTTCAACCTCAGCCTGGAACTGCACCCTGATCCCCTCTGTCCTGCAATCCCACTTCTTGAGCAGCTACTGGATCCTCAGTGACTTGATCACAGAGAGAGCCACTGTGGACCCTCTTACCTTTGACCCTGAAGCCTATCTGATAAATCCCCCTGCATAATATGTAGTAGGTGTGTGGTTGGTGGATGTTTAAATTAAAAATAAAAAGTCACATTACCATAAATTCCCCTCAGAATATTCTGCTTCACTTCAACACACTTACCCCATTGCTCTTGCCACTCTGAAGCAGCTCTGGAAGTCTCCTTTCTTGTTCCTTTTTGGGGCCATCTCAATGTCCTCATTGGTTCAAAACATTTCCAGCAATTTCTGTTGAATAAAAATATTACAGTGTTTCTTCATCTACCTTATTATCAAATCTGGCACTGTGTGACTTCTGGCTCTTTCTCAAAGTCAAAATGACAAAGCAAGTTAATAAATAAGTATAAGCTATTGATCCTATTCCTCTAGGGAACCTTAACCAGTCCCTGTTTTGGTACTGAGGCTTGTTCTAGAGCAACAGAATTATAAGGACAATTTCTTTAACAGGATTGGTGGTTTCCAGGGCTGGATCTCCAGTTTGGTGAGACCTACAATCGTCATTGTCCCTCTTCTGATAATGCACAATCATGGTAATCCACAGTGTTAGCTGCTTAAAGAAATGGGAAACACAGATCCACTCAATACCTCTAATTACCATTTGTTATATGCAAGGAATTTAGTGACACAATACCTTTACACATTTCTGGAAGACTAAGAAACACAGTGATCTTGGCTGTTTGTGCTTAGTGGCTCTGGACAAGGTAATAAAGAAAAAGAATGAGCTCAAAGATGTGTATTTCTAAATATGCATGGACAACCCCACAGTTTGTAACTGTGTCATGAAGGAGAACATTCTCACCTGCAGCGTTAGGGTTAAAAATGGGGAAGGGGACACAAGTCCTTCTCACACCACTGGCTAAACTGCAGCTCAAGCTTAATGCTCAGCCCCCAAGGGCACCAGCTGCTGAAGCGAGGCTGCTGATTAGAAAAGCATCAGATCCTGTGAGTTGGGGTAAAGATAGAGATGATTGGATGAGGCTGGGAACATTGAACTACTACATTTTGATGAATTTATCTTGCCAGAGGAAGAGATTTCCTCAGCCTCAGAGGCAAAGGCACCTCCATCCCCCATACCTTGGCCTGCTGGCCTTTCCACTTCCGCCTGAGGAGATGGACACTTCACTGTCTGTGGAAGCAGAGATGACCGTCCCTGAAGCATTTTCCGGCCCCACAGTGCTAGTGCTGCTCAGCACCAGGGCTCACCAGTCATTTCTGTCCCCTGCTTATACCCAGGGTCAAATCTCCAAAGGCTCCTAGAGATGAGACACACAGTGTGACCCACAGAAAGGAATGCTTCACTCCCCCAAGAAGTTCTTGAGTTTTCTAGTTTATGCAAAGATCTGGGGAAGTGGATTTTAAGGGTGTGGGAAAACAGTGGAAGAAACATAAAACTATTGTGGGCTGGATTTCTTGCAGTGGGTCCATTAAACAGAGATACTGATTTACAGTTGGAGCTTCTGAGGTTGAAAAACTGTACTAAGTTTCTTTAGCTGGTTGATTGAAATGTGGATCAAAAGACGGTCCCTAATGAATGAACAGGAAGAGCCCCATATTCCTCAGTTTACTGTTGGTGAGGGTACTGAAAGGCTCGGGCTGGTAGAAATCCTGGCAGGGATTTCCCAGCTAAAACTGACACCTGTGCACCGGAGGGTGCCAGACGCACCCTTGGCTACTAAAACCCTAAGCAACAGGTTTGTGAAACAACAACCAGCATCTTTTAAGAACTCTGTCACTTCTCTTCTCTGAATCCCAGACTTTACAGTGGGGACCACAGTCACTCAGTTGAGAAACTTAAATGCAGTGGGTAAAACTGGAATCTGCAGCACTCAACCATCAAAGACTAGGTGAGTGTATTTAGTGTAATTATCAGCATATGCAGGGCAAGGTCAGAAGGTTCTAATTCCTATGGACCTGTGGCATTGACTGAATCATGGCGTTCCTAGAAGTTATATGGGTAGAAGTTCTAGTTCTGCTAAACTTCTACAGGATCACCTAACCATAAAATTTCAGGTCAGTGGTGGGGATGTAACTCAGTGGCATAAGTACCTGCCTGGCGAGCACGAGGTCTTGAGTTCAATCCCCCCCACAAAAAAAATCAGGAAACAGCTCAAAATTTACCTAAATTAGAAAACAGAGAATGATAGCCAAACAATTCCCAGAATTTATTCAGTTTTTGCACCCAGAATTCCTTGAATGAAGAGGTGGCAAGTTCCTCTTGAGGAAGAACCCTGGTGCTCTATCAAAAATTAAACTGCTCATGTTTGCCCTGTTATCCCCCAAAGAGACCACCAGCCTTTTACTCAGTAACCATTCACTGTGGAAAGAATACAATCAGCTCTTCAGGAACTGCTGGTTGCTGTTCCTACATGGACACCGGTTCTCGGAACTCCAAAACATCATTGTGGACTCCAATAACAATAAGCACCTATGGAGCCAGGGGATCAATGAAGTTTTAGTTAAGGCTCAAATCCTGTGGTCATTTCCCCAGTTCCACAGGTTTACTTAGTACTTACCAGAATCCCTACACTGGGTCCTAAGCTGTGACGTGAGATCAACTATGGTGAAAAGGCCAAATAAAAGTCATCATAGCTCCCTCTGACTAGGAAAATAGAAAATATTACATTCCAGGGAGATTTCAGAAATTAATGCTGCCCACAAGGACATAAAAATATGGAAATGGTAGTTCCAACCACCACCCCTGTTTTGTCCTGCATAGAAAATGAATCTTAGAGACTAACAATGAATTATCTTAAATTTAATCAAGCGATGACCCCAGTTGTGGATGCAGTGTGAGATGTAATCTCTTTGCTTGAGCAGATAAATAAATCTCCTGGTACTTGGTATGAAGCTATGAACTTGACAAATGCCTTTTTCCTCATAGCTATCCAAAATCTGCTTTCACATAACCAGGCCAACAATATACCTTCATCACCTAGCTCACAGTTATACCATAATTCAGTTCATCATTTAGTCATAATTTAGTTCACAGGGATCTTGACTCACTTTCTCTTCCAAAAAGTATCTCACAGGTTCCTTTCATTAATGATATTATGTTGACTGGACCAAGTGAGCAAGAGGTAGGAATCACTCTAGTTTTGTTAGTGAAGCATTTGTGTTTCAGAGGATAGAAAATAAACCAATTAAAATTCTAGAGCCCTGTACTGCAGTGAACTTCCTAGGAGTCCAGTGGTCGGAGGCATCCTGGGATACCCCATATAGGGTAAGTCATCATATCTGGCCCCTCCTACAACCAGGAGAGAGGCACAAGGCCTAGTTGGCCTATTTGGATTTTGCAGGTAGCGCATTGCCCACTTGGGCATGGGATTCCAGCTCATTTACTGAGTGACTAAAAACGCAACAAGTTTTGAATGGGGCCCTGCTACAGGTCCAGGCTGCTTTTCAGGCTCTATGTTACTTGGTCCATATGATCCAGCCAATCAATGTACCTAAGGTGTCAGAGGCAGACAGAGATACTGTTTCCAACCTCTGGCAGACCTTATAGATAAATCATTCTGAAGACCCTTAGGATTTTGGAGCAGGGATCTGCCATTATCCAAAGATAACTGATTTTTTGGCCTTCTCTTGGACGTTAGTGAAAATTGAAGGCATGACCAGGGGACACCAAGTTACTTGAGCTGCTTATCCTGAAATTGGTATTATCTGACCCACTGAACCATAAAGCTGGGAGTACACGGCAACAGTCTATTATTAAATGGAAATGGATGCTGCGGCTGGGAGGAGCCCATCAGGAAGAAGCAGCCAACTTGCCCTTCTGGCAAGCGGCACAAGCCAGGCAGGGCCAAGAAGAGAGAAGCCAGGTAGCCCGTGAGCTGACCAGTGCACCGTCTGAGAATCAAGAACCCCAGGGGCAACCAGCTGGTTCAGAGGACAGGTTGAGTTGATAGAAACTGAGGTACAAAAGGCAACTGAGTGCTTGTTCTGTTTGGTTGACTTTACAGGCATAGGGCCGGTGGTCTGAGCATCTCTTGGAAGATGACAGTATACAATATAGCAAATATGGGGGATTTCCTTCTGTTTTGTTTTTAAAGTCCAATATTGTTCTAACTGTTTGTTCCAATTTATTGTTTTTCTTTATTTAATGTTCTGTTTTGATTGATTTTATTCTGCTTTGTTTGGTTTGATTTTATTATATCCGATGGCATGGGCAGCTATTTCAAAGATAGCAATATACATTATGGTAGCCATGGTTGATTTCCTATTGTCTTACTTTGAAGTTCTGTACCAATTTCACTGCTTTCTTTTGATTGGCTTTATTTTATTTTGTTGGGTTTTATTATCTTTAAAATAAATTTTTAAAAAATTTTTTTAAATTCTTAAATAAATAGAAATGGTGCACATGTGGTTAGACGTGATTGGGACCTGAAGGCACAAGTAGATTCCATGAAGTAACCCAAATGCCCACGGTTCCTAGTCCTGCTACACTGCGTCTGCCACCCGGCAGGCACCTTCAGTCCCACAAGGTGGACCTATGATCAGCTGACGGAGGGGGAGACAGGGGCCTGCTTACAGATGGCGCTGCATGTCAAGGGACCATTTGAAGGTGGACAGCTGCAGCACTGTGATCGCTTTCCAGGACATCCCTGAAGGACAGGGATGAAGGGAAATCCTGACAGTGGCAGAACTCCAGACAGTGCACCTAGCACACATTTTTTTATTTGAAGAAAAGGTGGCCGTCGTGTGACTATATGCCAATTCCTGGGCTGTAATGATGGTCTGCTAAAAGGAATATGGTGACAAAGAGTATCCTGGGAGTGCAGGAAAATCCTGACAGTGTTTTCTTCTATTATTATTATTTCCTATTATTTGGATCCCAACCCAGACAGGATGATCAATGACGCAGACCCTTCAGGAATGATGGCATGGTTCACCCTACCAGATAAAGAATGAAGACCCACTGAGGTACTTGCTGAAGGTCAAGGGAATGAAAAATGGATTGTAGAAAAAAGTACTATAAATACCAGCTATGACTCTAGTTAGAGAAGTGAGGATTCTACCATGATTCTTTCTTTCTTACTTTAGTGCATATATACACATACATTAGCAGATATCTTTGTTCCCTTTCTCTGCATTCTTACACCAACTAGTATAACACTGATTGACTTAATATTGATTCTTAGGTGTCATAAATATAAATTATGATATTTAACTTATAGACTATCAGGAGAAGAGTAATATTGGAAGCATCATCGGGAGAAAAACTTGGCCTCCTATCCTGGGGAGGGCATCAGTGAGTGTCACTTGTGTGCGGGGTGGCCCTATCATGTCAGGTGGAATGGAGAACTTGCTGTTGTCTTTATCTGGATTTTAAGTACAGTTTAAAATGATGTGTTTGATTGTCGTGTTGATAAGGGGTGGATTATGATCACTAATCACGATTGTCAGCTGCACTGGACTAAGACATGCCTGGAAGATCAGTAGAGCACACATCTGCAGGATGTTTCCAGCAATGATGGGCATGCGAGCCAGCCAGCTGAGGAGAGGACCCAAACGCACCGTGGGTGGCGTCCTCCAGGAGGCTTGACACCAGGACATGATGTGGGCACAAGAGAGGAGTCGGCCTGCGTCAGAAAGCTCAGTTCTGCATGAGCACTGCACCGTTTACTGCCACAGCTGTGCGGCTGTCACCTGTGGACAGTGGGTCCCAGCTTCTCAGTCTCTCAGCGCGTATTCTCCAGTGCCCTCCCTGGAGCTTCCAGGCCTTCGGTCTTCATTTCTCCTATGAGCAGGTAGGCATATGTGTTTAAGACTTAAGAAAAAACAATATAGACACAGGAAACTTAAAGTCGAAGGAACTGAAGGCTAGAAAACTAATGGCTAAAATGAATAGCAAAGGAATAAAAGCGGAATAGTTTTGTAATATTGGAGGCTAGAAGGACTTAAGAAAATCCAAAATGCCCAAAGAAAATTTAAAAATTATAAACCCAACATAAATCAACTTTTCACGTAAGCAGTAAATTTGGAGGTAATGCTCGCAGCATATCAAAATATAATTAATATGTAGAATATTTAACAATCTCTTAGTAATATTTAAGAGATAAATCATTCCCTTTCACTCAAAAATGTGTATCACAAAAACTTCTAATGATGGAAAGTTAATATGGAAGCTTGTTCATTTGTTTGTTTTTTGGAGACAAGGTCTTGTATGGTAGTTCAGGTTGGCCTTAAACTCACTATGCATCCATGCTGGCCTTGAACTACAGCAACCCTCCTGTCTCAGCCTCCCAAGAGCTGGGATTACAGGGAAGCAACAACTTGCTCAGCAGGACACTGCTTTATAAAATCTATATAATTCGTGGGACATAAAGCAGCAAAACTTACAGACTGAGTCAAAAAATATTGAGAAATATTAGGGATAAGTACATATAAATGATTTCTATTCTATTCTATTCTATTCTATTCTATTCTATTCTATTCAGCATTAGATTTTTCTTTCTTTGTAACAGACTGCCCAAAAACTCAGCAGTTTAAACAACAAACATTCATTATCTGACATAGATCTTGAGACTATGGAATCCAGTAGCAGATAAGCTGGGTGGTACCAGCTAAGAATCTCTCATGGAGAGTTATAGTCAGGAATCAACCAAGGCTCTAGAGATCACAAGACTCAGCTGGGACTAAAAAGTACCACTATTCCAAGATTATGTGATAGGGATTGGACAAACTCAGGTCCTCAGTGACTGGAGGCTGGAGGCTTCATTTCCTTCCTATATGGGTCTTTCTGTAAGGTGCTTAAAACATGGTAGCTTATATCCTCTGGAATAAGAGAGACAGAGACAGGGAGACAGAGGAATAAAGAAAGGCAAATCACTAAATCCAAACCACACACTCAAGGATAGGAAATTGTACAACAACATGACTACCAGAAGATGTGAATTATCCAATGCCATCTTGGAAGCTGGCAGTCATAATTATTAAATTTAAATACATTTATAAATTGTAAAATCTGCTTTGAAATGTAAGTTGCATATATTTCTTAATTAAATGTTTTCTAAATCTTGGATTCTCTTAAATACTGTGCGAGATTTTTCATGCAGAATACTAATTTCAGTTTGACAATTTCTTGGTTAATGTTTAGCAATTATTCTTATCTTCACTGATGTGGTAGCTCAGGTACTTTTTGCCCCTGACATTAATAGGGATCTTTATTCAAATGGATTCAGGAACAAGAGATGGAAGGAAGGAAGGAACAGGAGATGAGAAAAATCATGAAAACAGAGTTTTTGTAAATGAGAAGGGGACCAACAGTTGGAAGGACAGGGAGGGATGAGAAAGACAGGGATTAAAAACAAAGAGAAAAGGAAAAAGAACTGAATGTATTATATCCATGTACCAACTCCCCAGGATAATTGTAATCTTCATGCACCTCAAATGTGTTCTAAGAAAAAAACTAATGATTCTTAAAATTTCTAAATAATTTAAAATGTAAAAGTAATAGTTACGTGTATTTCTCCATATTCCCTGCTTCTTTGTCAGAGTTACAGGGATTACTTCCAAGATGGGGGTGGAGGCCAGAGGGACAGGAATGAAATAAAAGAGAAGTGAAAGAGAATGAACAAGTCTAATGTCCACATCACTATCAGCTGTTGGTCACATCAAAGGGAAACTGGTCACTAAGTGCCATGTGTTCAAGGCATGGGCCCCAGCCCAATGCACCAGTGGTTCTGGTAGAACCTTTAGGAGGTGCAGTCCTAGGGGAGAAAGTTAGGTTATTGGGGGGGTCTCCTTAAAGGAGACATTGGGATCCTAGCTCCTCCTATTTATTTCTCTGCTTCTAGGTCACCACGAGGTGGGCAGCTTTGCCCCACAGCATGCCCCCACCCATGACACCTGCTTCACCACAGCCCCAAAACCCAGGAGGCTACCCATCATCAAATGAGACTCCTGAAACCATAAAAAAAACTTCTATCTTTGTAAGTTTATTATCTCAAGTATTTCATCACAATAGCAGAAAACTGACCAATACACTAAGCAGCAGCCACTAAGACTGCTACAGTCACATTTGACATGGGAGCAATGGGCAGAATTAGGTCAATCAACCTTTATAAATGAGACTCTAGATGTATCCAGTTAGAAAGTATGTTAATACAGTTTATGCTCAGAATTGTACATTACTGTTAGAGTAAACAAAGGCACAGCTGAGATTCCCAAGGCAAGCAGAGTTTAAGCAACATGCAAGGATTTTATTGCAGACCTGGTGAGGCTGGGTCAAGGATGAGAAGATCATTGGCCCTGAGTCAGGGATGAGAGTGTGTTTTATAGGGAGTTCAGGTAAAGGAGTGGGGCACTGGTGAGGAGGTACAAAATTCAGGGTCTTCGAGTAGGGTGTTTGCACCTGGCTGATAAACAGGGTTGTGTTGGGTACATAGGGGTGTTGGCAGGCACAGCACACCTCTTGTGGTTTTTTATGGAATCAGCTTTCTGCAGGTTGTGCTGTGTGGGACAACTGCTGGCTTCCTGTTAACACTGCCTGCTAACCTGAGTGACAGATCTGCTTGGGGAGTGTTTCTCTCCTGGCTGGGTGGTGACTTGACAGTTTCCAAACAGTGGGAATCACTGCATTATAATTGTTACAGCTCTTTAGAAAAGCTAATTCAGCCCTTGTTGCCTGCAACATATCATGAGCTATGACAATATCTACTTCTTTTTCGGCTGCCCTTGTCTAACTGCTCCAAAGGCTGTATATCTATGCTCCATTTACGTGGCTATGCATCATTTGTGCTGCTGTGAATTTTGACTCTAAAAGTAGACAACTGTTGGGGCTGTGAATGTAACTCAGAGACAGAGCACATGCTCAGCATGTGAGAGGCCCTGGCTTCAATCCTCAGCACTCCTCCCACCCCTGCAAAAAAAAAATTATAACATTTGCTTTGCTTATCTTTCATGTACTCTCTTTCTACGACCTAGATATGGTGCATGTGTGTATTAGATTACCAGCCCCTACACACTTTTCTGTCTAGGTGCTAATCTCCAGTTGATGGTGCCTTAACTTGATGTGATCTTATTACCTGCTAGATCTACTGAGATGCACTAGAATCTTTTTTTTGGTGCCAGAGGTTAAACCCACAACCTCGTGCTTGCCAGGGAGGCACTTATGCTACTGAGCTAAATCTTTGGAATAGTCATCCAAGTCTTAGTTTCTATGCTTATAAAATTGAAAAATACAGCTCTACCCTGAGGATTTTTAAAGAATAAAAATCTGGTAATGGATGTGAAAAATTTTTTGGAAACAGTGTTTATTGATATATTATTACTTTATTATTGTCATTGATCATATTAGACATAAATTGTATCCCATTATAATAATTGTATCCCAAGGATTTTTAGCCCATAATGGGTTTCTTTGCAAGAAATATCTGGTAAATATATGCAATGACTTGAGGCTTGGGAATATCATTGTTAGCTCAAGGTACAGAATACAGTAATAAATTTAGAAAGCTTGGCTTACAGTAATATAACTATAATTAAATCTTCAAACGTTTGAATATCTCAGTTTTAAGTTATGAAACTAAAGAGGAAGTGGTAGCCAGGAGGCATGACATGAAATCAGTGCACACGCATTTGGATCTATTACATCCTTTGATCTACTATGTGTCCAGGTAAAAACAAGACTCTCTAGGCAAAGTGATGAGGAAATGAGCTACGAGACCTGGATTCTGCCCATGACAAACTTATTGACTATTTGAGGGACCTTCTTTAACAAGACACTTCACACTTCCTCACCTGTGAAAGGTAAGTGTTAGACTGGGTCTGAGTATCTGGAGTACATTTTATGACAATCTCAGAACTCCACTGGCTCAGAAAAGGGCTGGGGTACTGTGGAATATGTTGGGTTCAGGAAACCTGATACTTGATTAATTCTGATTTCTATTTAAGAATATCTCACACATGTTTATTTGAAAAATGACTAATTTATTGTTGCTCTTTGTGCCACAAGCACACCAAACTTATCATGTCCAAAACTAAATTCAATATTTTCTTCCCTTCTCCATCAAACACAGAAATATTTGCTATTTGAAAAACTACAGTCTACAGAATATATTTTTTGGAGAATACCAAACTTGTAAGGAGAAAAGATTTCTTTTGCTCATGGCTTCAGGGGTTTCAGTTGAGAGTGGCTGGCCTCATGCCTTTTGTAGGGAAGCAGTGTAGCAGGGAGCATGTGGTATGCCAAAGCTACTCACCTCATGGTAACCCAGAAGCAAAGAGAGAGAACAAGAAGGGGCCACGATCCCGGGATCCCCTTTAAGAGGATGCTACCTACCCCTGACTCATCTGTGGAGCATCCCAGACAGACTCACTGTCACCCCACATCTTCCATTTTCCTCACCCGATCCCAACATTCCCACATTTAGCTAAGCACCAAGTCTTATCTAGAAAAAAATGAGAACGTGAACTGTAGAAAATACTTAAGATCTTAGTCTTATTAATCAAACGTTTTAAAATGAAAGTTACGGCGCTGGGGATTTAGCTCAGTGGCATAAGCACCTGCCTTGCAAGCAGGCGGTCATGAGTTCAATCCCCGGTACCGATAAAAATGAAAAAGACAAAAAAAAAAATTTTTTTTAAATAAAATGAAAGTTACAATTACACTTGATAAAAATTCTTAAAAAGAAAATAATGCTTCAGTACCAAACCCACTGTACTTCTCAACAAGAAGACTATAATTAACATTCTGATCACAGAAATCTAGAAGAATTTAAAACAGAAAGTTCTTAT